ATGCAACAAGCATTATTGAACTTATGCAAATAAACCTTCTTCCACAAAATAAGAATTCTCCCAAGTATTTTTCAATTCCAGAGGGGTCAGGAATAAAGAAAAGTTTATGTCTCCATTTAAAGAAACAAAAATGAAAAATATTTTAACAAATTGTTGAGTCTGTCAACACCTCAAAAGAAAGTAAAATGCTTAAATTGGGAAAACAAAGCATGGGAAAAAAAAAGTAATGTTTTACTATATCTTTCTTTCATAGCCTGACTTACCTCACTCAGCAATAAATCTTCCATATTCGACCACTTTCTATCAAATGTTTTATAGATGACTAGTATTCCATAGAGTATATGTGCCACACTTTTTCAACCCATTCATCTATGGACATTGGGGTTGGTTCCATGTCTTAGTAATCATGAATAAAGCTGCAATAAACATTGATGTGCAAGTGCTTTTTCCAACTGAGCATTCTCCTGTCTTGTGGGTAGATACCCAGAAGTGGATTGCTGGACCAAATGGTAATTCTATTTGTAGGTCTTTGAGGAACCTCCATATTGTTTTCCACAGTAGCTGGACCAATTTACATTCCCATCAACATGTTGGAGAGTTCCCCTTTCAACACAACTCCATCAACACTTACCATTTTTTGTATTTTTACCATTCAGATAGGGGTTAGGTGGTATCTCACTGTGGTTTTAATCTGCATCTCCCTTATGATGAGGGATGTTGAGCATTTCCTCTTATGATTTTTGACTGTCTATATGTCTTCCTTAGAGAGATTTTTGATCAGTTCATTTTCCCATTTTTAATTGGGTTAATTCTTTTTTTTTTTTGATAAGTTGCATGAGTTCCCTGTGTATTTTGGTTATCAGTCACTTATCTGAGGCATAGTTTACAAAAATATTCTCCTATTCTGGTGGTTGTCAATTCACGTAATTACTGTGTCCTTTGCTGTGCAGAAACTTCTTAATCTGATGTAATCCTACTTGTCTACTTTAGGGATTATTGTCTACTCCCAAAGCATTTTGGGAATCTTATTTAAGAATTCTTTTCCTACCCCAATGTCTCCCAGAGTTTCCCCAGTGTTTTCCACCAGTAGTTTTATAGTTTGAGGTCTTAGGTTCAGATCTTTACTCCATTTTGAGTTGATTTTCGTTAATGGTGAAAGGTGGGGATTCAGTTTCATCTTTCTGCAGGTGGATACCCAGTTTTTCCAGCAACATTTGCTAAAGAGGTTTTCCTTTTCCCAGTGGATTGACTGGCATCATTTGTCAAAAATCAGTTGGCTGTAAGTTTTGAGGTTTATTTCTGGGGTCTCTATTTTATTGTATTGATCTACCTGTCTGTTTTTGTGCCCAAACCATGCTGTTTTGATTATCACAGCTTTATAGTATATTTTGGGGTCAGGGAATGATATGCTGCCCACTCCACTCTTGCACAGGATTGCTTGGCAACACAAGGTTTTTTATGATTCCAGACAAATTCCAGATAAATTGTCTTTTCTAGATCTGTGAAGAATTTTGGTTGAAATTACATTAACTATGTAGATTAATTTGGGTAGAATTGCCATTTTGATTATATTCTTCCAGTCCAGGAACTTGGGATGTCCTTCTACTTCTTTGTGTTGTTTTGATATCTTTGTCAAGATTTTCATAGTTTTCTGGGACCAGCAGTTAGCGTAATGGCTATGTTGCTGGACTCCCATGTAGTTGACCACGGTT